AGATAGTACTTAATTTTAAGAGAGTTCTTGCTAATTGACCAATTTTACCTATACGGCACTGCAAACATACACATAGTAAAATAGTCATTGAAGCTGTACAAAAGGACACACTGCTTCCAGCCTACCACAGTCAACACAGATAAAGCAGAGTTATGAAGTCTTTTGTAAGTTTAGCAATCTTGTTCTGATAGTTTCATATATTTAAAATATTTCATAAATATAAACTAATATCATAAGTTTTGGTGCCATAAAAACTTAACATTTTTCTATCTTCATATCAGCCGAGATATTTTGTGCTTTGCCACTATTAATATATCACTACAAAATTCAAAACATTATTGTTTCTTAAATGTTAGTTTCCAGGGCAGTTAGATATCTCTCAATGAATGTCTATTCTTTTCCACTGGTACTGAGTGAGGCTTCAAATGATTCACTATATAAGACAAAAATTCCTATTTCACTTTATCTGCATTATTATCGCTATTAAGCTCGAAAGTTCTATACTGGTATTTCCAATGTTAGTGAAAATTTTTATTTTTTGTGAAATATTCTAAAATCTGGAAAATTGGTAACACTGTTAATTTCCTCCAACAGGTTATTGTTGCTGCTCTGGCTGCCTTCTATTTGGTGGCTACAAGCGCTCTCCCTTCTCCTGATCCTGAGCCTGGTTACCTGCTAGGATACGGAGGCTTAGGAGGACTCGGAGGTTTGGGAGGCTTAGGGGGACTCGGAGGTTTCGGAGGTTTCGGCAGAAGATATGGCGGATACGGACTGAGAGGAAAGAGGAGCGCCGAGCCAGAAGCTGAACCTGGGTATCTGAGAGGCCTTGGTTTCGGTGGCTTAGGATTTGGGCGAGGATATGGAGGCTATGGAGGTTATCCAGTCTACGGCTAAACACTAGATTCTGTCAACTGACATAACCCTTTTTTCTGTAAATTTGTCAAATTAGAAACGCATCTATTAAAAAACATCAATTAAAGTCTTGCACTGTTATATATTTTTCATTTTAATATTAATAAAAATAGAAAATATTAGATTTTTGTGTTCTTTCAAAAAGCATCTCACTAGACCATATTTGGGTTTATGATATCTCTGATAAATAAGTTGGCTCTGAAATAGCAGCGATGACGTATGCTCTCTCATGTTGAGGGCCGGTTGAGTCTTGTGTACTGGATCCTTTTCACAATTAATATTTACCCAATAAACATTGTAAATACATACATAAATATATATATATGTATATATATATATATATATATATAAATATATTTGTGTATATATTATTATTATTATCACACAGGCCGATTCCCACCAAGGCAGGGTGGCCTGAAAAAGAAAAACTTTCACCATCATTCACTCCATCACTGTCTTCCCAGAAGGGTGCTTTACACTACAGTTTTTAAACTGCAACATTAACACCCCTCCTTCATATATAAATATATATATAATATAAAAATATAAAATTTAAAATATATATATATAAATAGATATGGAGTGTGAGCAAAGTAACATTTATAAAGGGGGTTTTCAGGAAACCGGCAGCCGGACTTGAGTCCTGGAGAGGGGAAGTACAGTGCCGCACTCTGAAGGAGGGTTGTTAATGTTTGCAGTTTAAAAACTGTAGTGTAAAGCCCCCTTTCTGGCAAGACAGTGTTTGGAGTGAATCATGGTAAAAAGTTTTTCTTTTTCGGGCCACCCTGCCTTGGTGGGAATCTGCCAGTGTGATAATAATAAAAAAAATAATAAAAAAAATTTAAAATAAATAAAAATAATATATATATATATATATATATATATATATATATATATATATATAAAATTTTATATATATATTTTATATATAAAAATATATTTATGCAAAACAGCCACTTGAAAGAATAAAGAAATTCTAAGCGCTTTCGTGACTACTCACATTTTCCTTGATGATGTGAGTAGTCACGAGACCACTTCGAATTTCTCTATTCTGTCACAGTGGTTGTTTTGCATATTCTGAAATCACATGTTTTTCTGTGATCTTATTGCATATATATATATAAAATATATATATTTTTATTATTTTATTATCACAAATGGCCGATTCCCACCAAGCAGGGTTGCCCGAAAAAGAAAAACTTTCACCATCATTCACTCCATCACTGTCTTGCCAGAAGGGTGCTTTACACTACAGTTTTTAAACTGCAACATTAACACCCCTCCTTCAAGTGCAGGCACTGTACTTCCCATCTCCAGGACTCAAGTCCGGCGTGCCGTTTCCCTAATCCCTTCAAAAAATGTTACTTTGCTCACACTCCAACAGCACGTCCCAAATATTAAAAACCATTTGTCTCCATTCACTCCTATCAAACACGCTCATGCAAAGCCTGCTGGAAGTCCAAGCCCCTCGCACACAAAACCCCTTTACCCCCTCCCTCCCAACCTTTGCCCAGGCGACCCCCACCCCCCTTCCTTCCACTACGACGATACACTCTTTAAGTCATTCATTTTTGCCCATTCTCTCACA